ACAGAGGGGTTTTTGTCTGGTGTGAGAAAGCACATTTCTCACAGAATAATGTGAACACTTGCTACAGGATAATGTGAACACTTGCTACAGTGCTGTGGTAGCACAGCAGAAGGGAAGGTTATTTCCAGGCTGTGCAGTTCTTTAAGAAAGCTTGAGTTTAATGGAGCCTTGAAGGGTGGCTTGGGGAGTAGGTGGGTAACGGCAGACTGAAGTGGTAGGGAATGGTTCAAGCAAAGGCACTGAGGCAGAAAAGTACAGGAGCAACAGCAGGGGGCACACAGTACAAGAAGCATGAGGGGTGAGAAGCAAACCTTGTAAATAAGCCTGGAACTACATCAGGATTCTATTATAGAGTGGTAATGGCAATTTGCTTGGATTTTATTATGTAATCAGTAGGAGCCATGGCAAATTTTTAAAGCAAAGGAATTATATGACAGCAACTGGCAGCAGCTACAATTTGTAAGCTCTCGGTAGCAGGCATTTTTATTCAGTCCTTACCACAGCATTCTGAGGTCAGTGCTGTCAGTATCACATTTTATAGATAAAATGAAACGTCGTGAGAGGTTAAATAATACCAAGTAGGTGGTGGGCCCAGGATCTGAAACTGGGAGTGTCATCTAAGATTTAATGAACCTAGGATTGAAGAGTAGGGCACCCAGAGTCTCTTAGCTTTCTGAATCATTAGCACAGTGTCCGGGACATAGGAATGTGTGCACTTGTTTAAAGAAAAGCTATAGCTTTAATTGTAGGAGAAGTCATTGCCAAAAGACATTAGTGAAGATGGTAGTAGCACCTTCCTTTCCGATAGGTCCAGTGCATTATGTGGCAACTTTTTGCTAATGTTGCTGCTTTGGTTGGAAGAAGCAGAACAATCTAGCATCACCCAAAATAAAAGGAAAAGTCAAACAACTTGTGGGAATTATTAGTATCATTATGCAATAAACTGTACCTGGTATATGAGAAAAAGAAAATGCCCATGAAGTTCTTTGGAAGCTAAACATGAGATGAGCAGGCCTCAAATCCTGTGATAATTGGTAGCTGATAAGTAGTTTGTAGGGTAATTCTTGGAGACCAGGTACGTATCCTGTTCTTCAGCAGGCAGTCACTCACTTAGCGTTTTCAGTGTTCTTTCTCAAACCTCACGTGACTCAGAAGTGGTCATGTGCCACTTAACCCCTGGGGTGCCTTCTGAGAAATGAATCCTTAGGCAATTCTGTCAGTGTGTGTCATGGCTCCATCCTGATGGCCGGACCCTCTGCATGCCTAGACCATTGGGAGCACACTTATATTTGTGGTCTGTTGTGACCGAAATGTCATTAAGAAGGTGTGACTATATTATGAGCAATGTTATGATATAGTACTAGACCTGAAATTTTGAAGTTACTTTACTGGAGGAAATTTTTCCCTTTGAACCCCCATTGGAGTAAAATCTAGGCCCCAAAGACATAGCAGAGAAGGTGAAGAAAGTGAAACTCAAAAATAGCCAAACATAGACCAATATATATCCTTGCTTTTTCAAAGTTTGAGTTACATCATGAAGTTTTTAAAGACCTATGTTAGTGCCTGTTGTTGTGAGCCCAGAGAAATCTGAAGAGGATTCAAATTTTGGGGGCAGAAAAAGCAAAAATAGAGTTTAGTTTGTTTTGCAGTAGCACCCCAAATAGTGAGAAACCCCACCAAGTCCTTCCCTGGAATAATTTTATACATGTGCATATTTATCATTTCATCCCTGCTTTTACTAGATGCTAGTGTTGTTTTAGCTTTCATATGTTATCTGGTATGATTTGGTAGGTTTTTGTTTGTGTCTGGAAATGCTCAAAATTTTTCCATGTAAATTATTGGTAATCAATTCTTCACTTAACATCCTTTGGGTCTGCGGTAGGTTTCATAGGAACACTGTTTTCAGATAGCAGGGGGAACCTGTGTCGCCTAGTGTTTTCTTTTTTTGAGTAGATATGCAGGGAAGGAGGGGGTAAGAGAGAGATCTTTAGTTTGGGGAATTTGTACTTATGATTTTTATCAGTGCAGATGAGGAATGAACAGTACATTGTCATTGTGTGATTTCTTTCTAGACTAAGAAAATTCAATAATAATGTGATCATTTTTACCCCACAGCCACCATCTAAGAAATATTTGATGTTTCCCCTTCCATTTGAAAATGCCCCCCATTTTTTTTATTTGCCCCCAGAAGTAGTTTTTACTAAATCCTGTTAGATTGTATTTGAATGGAACCACAACCGTGGAATCCCTTTGAAAGGCGGAATAATAAGCAGACGTTGTTTAGGAAGCGGATTCCTTGATCAAGGCTTATTATAATCCTTTTGGGAATTTATCCTAAGGCTTCTGTGTGTACCCTGTTCATGACTGGCTCACTTAGTGACTCAGTGTTATCTGATGGGATCTTATTTCAATTTTGAAAGAAGTGTGTTGTTCTCTTACTTGAGGTATTAGGGGGTAGCAGGAAAAGCTTGGTTCCAGGCAAGCAATATAAAACCCACCTGCCCATCTTGAAATTAGAGAGCATCCTGCATGCAATGTAAATTCTCTCACTTGCATTTCATAATTATAAGACTTGTACTTTCGAAGCAGTTAATAGTTCCTCTTGCCTAAACAAAACTATTCTTAAACATTGGGGTGAGGACCTTACCAGACTCCCTCAAGCAATTCATTTGTCATTTGCTTTGTGTTCTTCCTGTTTTGTAAGAGGATTTTGGACACTTTTTTTACCACCAGGTAGACCTGGACCCAGGCAGCCTCCAGAGTCATGAATTTGCACATTGCATTGTTTGAGTCTGGAAATGACTGTTTCATTTTGTTGTGATTCAGTCACACTCTTGTTTCTCTCATGGGGGGCCTGCTGAGTGAGACATTAGCATGCTGTGGAGTGGTCTGTAAGATTTACATTAGCCTACTAAAATTCCATGTTTGGGGTGAGCTAGTCCCTCCATTGGCTTGATCTATTCTCACACTAGCTTCTGTTATGGGGTTAGAGATTACAGAATGTGAATATTTGAGGTAATTGCTCACTGATTTAGGCCCTGAACTTGGTGGGTTTCAAGGTGAAGCATTTCACTTGAAGAAATGATTTTTGGTTGATCTATGAGATAATGGATCCTGAAAATTTTGGTTTACGAGGTAGTACGTGCCTGGCAAGTGTAGTGACTCTACAAGAGGTTCGAGGTGACAGTAAACCTAGTGTCCATCACTGTTTGCTCTCAGCCCTTCAGGGGTAGTGAGCCTCTTCCAGCCCCAGCCCCAGCCCCAGAGAGGGACAGATAGCAGAGGACCTGCTCAGAGTTTGCTGTGCTGCTTAGAGCATCATAGCACAGTGGGCACAAGGATGTGTGAGGAGGTATGGTGATAATTCCTCTTCTCAAATGCTTACACTGGCTTTCTGGGACATGGTGGTGACCCCAAGGAGCACTTAAAGTAGACTTTATGGTAAAGGCTTGCAGAGTCCATTGCTTGACTTTTAGACTAGAGTCACATCTGTCAGGCAGGTTTAGACAACACTGAAAAGTAGACCCAGCTATGTTAGAAATCCACAGTTGGACCAGGGTGCTTCTTGGTGTGGGCCATCTGGGTGGAGTTATCCTTCATGACTAGAGAAAAAATTAAGTTAACTACATAACTGTGTGCACAATGATGGAAGGAGACATGGCCTTCCTTTTCGGCACATCATTGAGTCTTGTCTAAAGCAGTGTGAAGGCTCTGGTGTATTGTGGAAGTAACTTTCTAGAGGAGGTGCTGTATTCCTCTTGTCTTGGTTTCTCAGTCTATAGGTCACCACCTTTGACTGTTCACTGATAACCATTTCCTCTTCTTGCTTTCCCATGCCCCCTCCCAGCTCTTAGCCCTGCTAGCCAATTGCTTTTGACTCAAATAATAATAACTCTAGGCTGTTATGTTTCACTTAAAAAATTATGTGGGAAAACATTCCGAGAAATAGGTACCCAGTATACAAAAAAGTTAATATAGTGACAGCAGGCACTGTGTTAGGATCTTTGGTAAAAAGGAACTGAGACCAGATGCTTGCAGACCTTCAAGAGCTTGGAGTCTGGATAAAAGAGTCATATAAAGAGAACTTAAGAACACATGAAGGTACAAGGGCAGTAGGGTGGGGTCAGGGCACAGCTTAGACAGGGGCAAGTCAGCAACCCCTGGAAGGATGAATCTTGGCTTCAAAGTAACCATAAAGCAGGGTCTTTAAGGACCAGTTCCCCAGGGCTGAGGGGATGGAAAAGCCATGGGGTTCTGCAGGAGTGGAGGAGGGCTTCCCCGCGCCGCCTTCTGGAAATAGGATTTGGTCTAATCACAATAGGCATGGTGGGGTGAACATGGGCACCCATTGAGATGTGAAGTGGTGCTCTTCCAGTTATATAGTCTTGTAACCAAATGGCCCACCAGTAGCATTTAACTTAAAAAAAAAAAAATCTTAATTCGCCCATCCAAAATCCCATCTCTCAGCCACCAAGGATTATTATAGTTTCTAATACTTCCCTTCGTGCCTGTAAATAACAGCCACTTAACAGATGATGCTAGTTATCATCTGGATGACAGAACCAAAAACATTAAAATGCATAAAACAAGTAATAGAGGTTGAAACATAGTAGGAAAGGGGAGAGGAGGGAAAAGAATAGCTTCAGATGAGAAAGAATGACACTGCTTGGACTTGCCGAGAGCACATTTCAGTTTCCTCGACCACATCTGAGTCCAGGGGGCCTTAGAAAGAGCAAGAGATGGATAGCAAGACTATTTGTTTTGTTTATTTGGGGGGAAATTACCTTCTGGGAAATAATGAACGGGGCTATGAAAAAGCTTAAAAATCGGGCAATACAGACTGTCCTATTTCAAGGGATTCCTGAGGTTGGATTCGCTTGCCTCTATGAAAGAGTCTTCTCTTTTGTGGTAGCTGATGGGGGTTTTGGGGGGCCTGGTCAGGCTGCCCTCTCCCTGGAAGTGAGGAGAGGACTTGTCGCCAGAGCCAGCGGAAGACCCACCTGAAGTTCAGGCAGGACCCGGTCTGTGTGTGGCCCTGGGCATCCTCCCGCTCCAGCTGACCTGATGAAAGCGAGGACTCCCTGATGCTTGTTCTTCGGTTTCCAGTGGCCTGACTTGACCTCTGCCAAGAAAACGAGTGATGAGTCAGAGAGGTGCCCCTGGACTGCAGTGGAGTCGATGGTGAGCCATGTCTGGGACTCCGGTTCTCTTGCTCAAAAAACCTCTAGTGTTTTAATACTGATCAGTACTTACATGCATCCATGGCAGGAGGGCAGTGCTTTCCTACTCCCTACTCTCCCTCCTATTTCCTCTTCAGCCCCACCCTGACCCCTTTCCTTGCTGTTACCAGTCATCCAGGTGGTTCTGCTCCCCATGTTGCACTTACTCCCCGCTTCCCTTGGGCCTGTCCCCTGCTTGCCTGGGATGCATCTGTGTGCTCACCACAACAAGTTCCTGCTCCTGGAGCCATGAAAACCTCTGAGGAGGCTGCATAACCTCTTCCTTTTCCAGTGGGTTGAGGTTGGACAGATCTTGACAAACATTGTGTTCCTGATGGCTGGTCTGGACCATATCTGGAAGGGAACTGCTGGACAGCTGGGAATCTTCCTCCAGAGCAGATTCAGGGAACACAGAGACATCATCTTCTTCATCTTTCAGATTTTCTAGAAATCTGTCAAGCTTTTGCACAAGATTATGGAGTTTGCTGAGAGTCAGTTGTGTCCCCCTGTTAGGATGCTTTTCTACCCACTGGGTGTCTCTGATTTGGTCCAGATGAGCTATGGGGTCTGCATGGTGAGCTCCCACATCAATATCCCAGGCCAGACTGATGCTTAGTTTGCAGAACTGCTCTGGGCTGTCCTGAACTTGGTCTCGTTTCCCTACAAGTCTCCCTGCCCCTTCAGTCCACCATGTCCCTTGAATCGGAGGGACAAAGGGCAGGATCAAGGGACCCTCAGATGACGTGTCTTCGTAGGAGATTGTGTTCTCATAGGAGATGTCCTCACAGGGGAAGTGGCCCACAGAGAGGCTCAGGTTTGATTCTGAGCTGCAATCTTCCATGTCAGTAGGGTTGCTTCTGCTGGAAGAATGTGCCATGTAGTTGCCAGCTCCAGTCTCAGTTTTCCCTTATCTCAGGAAGCTTCAACAGAAAAAAAAAAAAGTGGGATTCAGGAGAAGGAAAGGGGAGTCCTGACAGCTCAGCCACAACATCATCCTCCCCTTTCCTATCTGGAACTCGTATTCTGATGAAGTCTGTCCTCTTTGTTCAATTTTGAGCAAAGGACAAAAGAGGCAGCCCTCCCCCATAAAAATTCATGTAACAACCCTCTCTACTATGCATTCCACCACGTGCCTCCCATATTCTGTCTTAGCTGCAGTTCAAATAATTTGTATTATAAACAAAAAGGGATACCGCAGAATTTTTAAAATACAGAGAAGGATAAAGGTGAAAATAGACATGTGATCCCCCCATCCAGAGGTAATGGTAACCTTCCTGGGCGCATTTGGTGGGTTTCCTTATTATCTTTTCTTATATGTGCATGCATGTACATGCCATGTGTACATATAGGTGCACATCCACACATGAGAAGTGCATGTGAATGTCACATCAGTGGTTGAAACTGAGCTTTTCTGATTTATGGCACATCCCCCAGTAAACATGCATATGGTAGTTCTGTCCTTTTTAATGACTTACTAAGGACTGCTAGGTGGTAGTTATTGTTTCAGTAACTAAATTCTCAATGAACTGTCCATAAATCTCTTTGTATTCCCATATGTGAGTTAAATGGATCCAAGACCTCAGATAAACTAAAAGACTCTTGATGGTACCAAATGACTTTCCAGAAACATGTAGGTAGCCCAGTAGAAGCCTAGCTTCCCGCCCCCCGCATCAGGTGGACCTTACCAGTCCAGCTGTGTCTACAATGCCCAGTATGTCTGTGTGGTGGGGAACTCACAGCTGTGCACATGTACCCTCCCTCACATGCACACGTCACCACCTGCCAGGGCCTGCTCCTGAGCCATAAGCTAGGGACCTTAGTTAAAAATCCTTCGCATCCTGAGTCTCAGTGGCTGAAAGTCCAACTGCCAGAAGACTGTGTTCTGGGACTGTTGGTTACCATGGCAACACGAGGACCCATGTTATAATCAGAAATTTGCAATGAGGGGAGAAAAGGGTTGAAAGCCACAAGCGCTGTCCCCTTGCTGCCTGGGCATCCTCTCTCCACACCCACGGGCTGAAGAGGATCCCTGCGGAGGGAAGAGGCCAGCGTAGCGGTGGCCACTGCTGCCTTGTCATGTGGTTGCCTGAGGCAGTTCCTGTCTGAGGAATGTAGAGCCTGTTGGGTGAGGCGAACATAAAGAGCTTATTTTAGGACAGCACGGTAAGTAGCACCAAAGCTTAAAAATAATGTAGGGAGGATGGGAGAGGGAACAGAGACCCCTTACTCAGCCGAGGTCCAGCTGAGGGGGCGCAGAGAGGCTCCTGTTGGGGGGAGTAGAAGTGAGTGGAGTAAAAAGTGGGTGGGGTTGAGAAGACAGCCTGGCTGAGCAGGGACACTGTGTGAGAAACAGCCAGTGGTGGGGAAGAGCAAGCGTGATCTGGTCAACGGGGTCAGCAGGAAGGTGGAAGGCTTTCTCCCCTGGGAGGGGACTGTCAGCCATAGTGAATGGTGCTATTTCCTGAGGAGGCCTCCTTCTAGGCCATTCAGAATAGACTGAAATATTTGACATGGTTTAAACAGATGAAACTTCCAATTGATCTGGCAGGATAGACGTTACTGGTCCACTTAAATGAGAAGGGAGTCAGTGGCTTTGCTCCAGGTGGAGGGACGAGCGAGAAGAGATGAAATGGTAGCAGTGGATCCAGACAGCACTTCAGAGATGCCTGAGAGGGACGCAGTGAAAAGAGGGAATGGCATGGAAGTCAGCTCCCCCGCCCCCAATAAAATAGACAGGGCGTTCATTCAGGGGGAGAGTTTCAAAGTAGAAAAGAATGATTCTGTGAAGAGAGACAGTTTCATGCCTGGGCAGAGGGGCGGGTTGCAGGGAGTACGTGATTCCCTGATGTTAAGGGAGAAAGTGAAGATGGAGAATGATAGAGTGCCTGGTTGAGTGGCTTCATTTTCTGCTTTGAGTTTCCCAACTATGAGTCTGCCTTCTGCTGGGATTGTCTGGATTTTTTTACACCAGTTCTGTTCACTAGATCTCTACCCTTGTTCTCTTTGGTCCCAAATTAACAGCCTCTTCAGTGCCACGTGGTGTCTTGGTCCTTCTAGAACTGGAGCTATGGCTTTCCTTGTCCTCTTCTTCCCTGAGAGGTCTCCAAGCCCCCCCACTTCCCTGGCTGCCCTTCCCTAGACTTCAATCAGTGGCCCTTTCCTGATGGCATCATGAGATTACTTGGGGGCTCAACAGGTCCAGTTTGGCCACTTTGCCTTCACTGTTCCAGTGTTCCTAGTAGGTACTTCGAAAGTGGAGGTGCTGGATCTTTCATTGTCTGCAGGTGTGTGATTTTGAGGACAAGTGTGAGACAAGAAAGCTCTCTATCCATAGGCCAAATCAAAAAAACTTTTCTAAGTGCAAAATCATCTTGGCAGATGTAGTTAAACCTGCAGTCTGGTTGGAACTTCACAGCCAGGGACCCTGTTTGCAGACATTGCAGTGATGGCAGGAAGAGAGCAGGGCATCTGCTCTGAGTTCCCAGGAACAGTGAATGTGGCTTTGGTTTGCTTTTGGTCACTTTCTAAAAGATTTCGATTTTTAAATAGCATTAAAAGTAATCATAAAGTTTTTATAATCATTGAAACTGGGCATAAATTTAAATGAGTATGTGCACACACACCCACACTTGCACATATGCACACACTTATACCACATAGTGTACACACCACTCACATACATAAACCCACACACATAAACCCACGGCCACACACTTAGTTGACCCGTGAACAACTTGGGGGTTAAGATCACTGACCGCCTCCCCATTCCATACACAGTCAAAACCCCTGTATAACATTTGACTTGCTGAGAACTTTAATAGCCTGCTGTTGCCCAGAAGTCTTAAGGTAACATGAGCTGTCGGTCACACATATTTTGCATTTCCTGCTCATAAAGTAAAAGCAGGTCATCTTAAAGTCTTCACCCTCGTGTTCTTCACACTGAGCAGGAGCTGGAGGAGCAGGGGGAGGACAGGAGGAATAGGAGGAGTACCTGGCCTTGTTGTCTCTGGGGTGGCAGAGGACAAGCAGTTGGGCAGAGCAGGAGAGTCAGTGCCCTGTGAGACATTTTGCTTTTCATTCCCCGAAAGTGCTCCTATATGGGGCCGACCTTTCTTCCAGCGCTTGCTGTAGTTTCCGTGCCCGTATCTCAGATGTGATGGGCATCACGAGGCAGCCCTGAGCAACCTGGCCCTGCTGCAGAGGGTCTCCTATTACTTTCTGACCCTGCTCTTTCCACCTCTCTTCTCCTCATCTGGCTCTGGTTCTCAAGCTCGGGTCTCCATTAGTGTCTGGTGAGGTGTCCGTCTACAGAGAGTTGGAACCACGTAGTTCAGACCTGTCTTGTCAAAGGGCGGGCTGTTTATACGTATGTGTATACATTTCATTTTAAATATATTGCTCAGTTGTGAAAGTCCTTGATACCCACTTCTTTCTGTCCCAGGAAAAGGATCATCACTGTCAAGTCTGATGTGTTTTCATTCACACAGGAGTTTTCTTTGCTGAAGCATCATGAATTAGCCACAACACATGTCATCCTTGGATACCCTGTGGAGCAGTACGGTTAATTCTAATGGGACTTAGCTTTCATCTCTAATTAAACAGACCAGGGGATTTACATTTGGATGCTCTTTTCTTTTAGGCCTTGATTTGACTTGCTGGGCCAACTTCTTGGATCACAGTTATATTATCTAAATACCTTTCTTCTTGAAGCAAAAGCATCCATAATAAAGTTTCTGGAAGTTCCAAAAAAAAAAAAAAGACATGAACTTACAGTGTTTTAGGCCTGAAGCCAGTAATAATAACTTTAGAAACTAGAACACCCATTTGACTTGATGGGATTTGGAACCCAAATTTTATAGAGTAGGAAGTTTCTAATTTGGAAGTTAAGCTAGAGTGATGGTTGATTTTAATGTCAGCTTGTCTGGGCTGGACCATGGGCTACCAGGTTATTTGGTGGAACTTTAATCCTGGGTGTGTCTGTAAGGGTGCTTCTGGGTAAGATTAAGTAGCATTTGCACACAGAGAAGGTTGTCCTCACTAACTTGGGTGGGTCTCATGCAATCTTTGGAAGGCCTGGATTGAGCTATTGATCAAAACCCGATAAGGGGAATCGGGCTCTTTGCCCAAGTGTCTTGAGCTGGGAGGTGGCTCCTCTCCTGCCTCCAGGCTTAGACTACACTTGACTTCATCAGCTCCCCTGGTCCTTAGGCCTTTGAACATGGACTAGACCTACAGTCCTGGCTCTCCAGCTTGCAGACAACCTCAATCACCATACAAATGAACTCGTTCCTTAGAACTTAGAATAAGTTTCTTCTTTTGTTCTTTGAAGTTATGAGCTCTTTCACAAGATACGGACCCTGTGACCTGAGGTGTTGAGGACACAGCATCATTTGTGCCGTAGTCTTGCTGATAATGCATAATCTCAGCCTCATAATGAGACAGTAGCAGACAAGCCCCAATTGTGAGATGTTCAACAAAATAACTTGACAAGCGTCAAGGTTTTAAGCAAGAAAAGATTGACAGTTGCAGATGGCAAGTGGTGGCCAAGTGCCTCGGGGCTCTAGGTCAGGAGTTGGAACAGAGAAGGGACATGATGGGAAAACCGGGCTGTGCCAGTGAGGTCTTCATTTGCGTTAATAGAACTCTCCCAAAGCTAATTTCCTGACCTGCTTGTTGTCCTGGGTTTGTGTAAGATGTAATTAGGAGGGGAATCTACAGATTGTGTGTACACCTTATCCCCAAGTCCAAAATTGGGTCCATGTCATTTTAAAAAGAGTACATAAAAGCATAGTGAATGATGTAACAAATGTGTAAACTTACAACTCGGTTTGGCCAAGTCTACACATTTAGTCCTACTCTTTTGCCTTTTTTAAAGAAAGAAAAAAAAACATTCTTTATAAAAGTCCCCTTCCTCCTCGCCCCCACCAACTTCTCCCATGTTTACTGTCCTCAGCTTGATGTTAATTTATCTCATGCATATTTAATAACATTTTTCATATTAATATATTGTTTTACCTTTGGAGACAAAGACTGATGTAAATGTGAATTGATTTAATGCTGCTGCACCACACACTTACAGGAGATTAAGCTGTTAAACTTCATGGTGTGTTTATCTTACCACAGGAACAAAGGAAATGGAGGGGGAGAAGCTCCTATAGTGGAATACCAGTGAGGCTTAATGGAAGAGGCTGAAGTGCCCTTCTTTCCATCGCCTGTTCTGTTTAATCAGAATTACTGTGACAAGGACATCCTTTTTGCAAACCCAATTCTTAACTGAAACATTTTTGCAGTGTTTATTTTGGGGGGCGGAAAGAGGACAGGTCTAGCTTCTGATGCTGTGTTTACATGTCCAGTCCCAAACAGGCAAGGCTTTGTCAGTGCTCACGGACTTACTAAAGGAGGGTGGGGATGAAGAGAGTGTGTTTGGATGGAGGCCAAGATCAGGGTGAACCAGCTGCTGCACTGTCAGGGACCTGTCATCCACAGGACTGCACTCTGAGTTGTGTTTTGATCATCACTTGTGCAGCTCACAGCACCCCCATCAGCTGCCAGAGCCCATTCTGTCCTCCACAGGTGTGTGTCTATCAGGGGTCGATGGATTTGTCATGAGTCGCGGTGGATGGGATGACAGGTTCTTCCACACAGCTCTCCTAGGGCGATTTCTTCCATACTCATTTAGTGGCCAGTATGCACAGAAATACCACTCACCTTGTTTTGAAAGCTCCAGAACTGTGCCATCCATCAGAATGCCACTGGTCACACACACAGTTACTAGTAAATGAGAAATGCACTTCTTCGCTCACCCAGCCACATTTCAGGCACTTGGTGACCACCTGTGACCAGGTGCTTCCTGGTTCTGTGAGGCAGGGCTGCTCCAGAAAGTCTGTCTGCTCTGTCCTTTTTTGCATTTGGATTCCACTCTGAGCAAATAGAAGTGTCATCAGCAGGAGCTGGGTCAATAGTCTAGCCTCAGGCATTCACTGACCTTCTTGTCAGGGCCATGTGACAACGTCCTCCGAAGTATCTACAAATGGGAATTGGCAGCTGAGAGCACCACTTTGAAATGCTGATCACTGGGTCCGGCAGGTTCCTATATTCAGGTTATGCAACATGGGACTATCTGCCCCGTACTTGCAGCCCTGCATGGGCAGCAGCTGCTGGGC